TTTTGTATCTAACAAGTCAGTCAAATCCCATAAGGATTTACCCTGAGACCATGTAGAGCAGCTTGTAGATCTTTTGTTGGTGTCAGCCATCTGGATGAGTCACAGCTATTGCTTAACCAGTTTGCTCTCTGTGAAAACCTGAGAGAATTTTTTCTCTCTAGGTGACTCTCCTTAAGCACACTATATATTGTCGATCACTTTCCTCTGTGGCCCCATAATCTCTTTGGTCAGAAAATTTGGGACACCACTGAGTTACAAGATGTCACAGCACAGGTTCTGTTGTGTCCTCACTGACCTTGAAGGGCTAGGGCCAAAATATTGGCTATCCTTGTAGCCCCTCTTTTTCTCTAATTTTTGATCTGCAAACTTTAGTTAAACATCCAGAAGAGAAAATTAATGATATTAAGGGAAAAAATGCTAACTGTGTATAATAGTTATTAATTTATTGCCATCTGGACATTTTAGACTCTTCAATGTCAATAAAAGGATTGCTCTTCTGGCTAGATTCTGATTCTCAAGAGGTCAAACAGATTACTTCTATACATATAGAGAAAGAAAGCTAAGCATGGAACTAGGGAGACCCTGCAGAGTACCCCCTACTATTTCCATACCCAGTAGTGCAGGTTATATTTCCTATAGAATAGGAAATATTAACAACCAAAACAGGCTGGGTGAGTGGGGACTGGCACCTTTCAGGAGTGAAGCTAGGAGCTGCTCCGTCAGGTAAAGAACCTCAAGTTACTGAGTTTATGACTCAGTACAGGGGAAACACAGACTGTGGAATGAAAAAGGAAGCACAGAAACTACTAAGAGCACTGCGACCAATTGCAGAGAAGGTGTGTACAGTACTTTCCAAGTTCTTATATGCATATATTTATTTTTATTTGCTGTTTTCTCCTTTCATATTTCTTTCCCTTTTTATTTTTATTTGAACTATAAGTTGGAAGTTAACTTTAGCAACTGGGAAACAGAACATTCAGTAGAATTGTGACTAAATGTGGAAAAAAAAGTAATATAATTAGCAGTAGTTACCACAGTTGTATCTTTACTTTGGATAAATAAAGATGGACAGCTATACATCAGGTAAAAATATAGAGCTATTTTGTTGAGATGTTTGGAAGAATGCATATGGCTCCAGAGGAACCAAAGGAGTGATATTAACAGTTATCAACTTATTGTTTCCTACCTTCAAACTTATCCTCCACAGACTCTACAAAAATGGATAAGACCCTTTTAATATCTTTCTTTGCTAGCTGGTTGAATGCTAAGCATGCTCAGCAGAGACTGCTGTAAAGATGCTGTAGAAGGAAGTGTTTCCTTCCTTGGTCCCAATATACTAGCTCAGCTGACCTCTGCCACACCCATTGCCCCTGCCTTACAGGCACAGGGTAATGGTTCCTCTAGTTCCTGCTCTTGTAACACCTGTAGCTTGCCCAGTGCCCTGTTTCTGCAGCAAAAGGGGCTTCTACAGCACCAAGGTATTGTAGCATGGCCAGCACTGCTAGCAACCACATCCTGCAGAACACCACAACTAACAATAATCACCAGCCAATAGCTTCCTTTTGTGTGTAGCAAAATACCTCTGGGGAGACATATCTATGAATAGCTTTTTCACTCGTCCCATGGGATAGAATTTTAGCATTCCTAGATGACACCTTTCCACCAAGTTGTTCTGCAGAAGGATTGTAGCAGCCCCTCTGACATTCAGAGAGCTGTTGCTATGCTTTCTCTAGCAAGCTCTGGACCACACCCCTCTGGACTTCCTCTATGGACATTCTGTGTAAACCCCAGCATGAGTATCTGCTAGTACCCAAAAGTATAGAGGTACTCAAAATCCAAAGGATGGAACACCACAGAAAGACAGAATGACCAAACCAGAACAATTTGAGCAACAAAATAAATAATAGAATGTTGTTATATAGCCCCCCAAAATTCACATAAATATATATGAGTTAAACTGACATAAAATATTTGGATAATGGGAAGGAAGAAACTTTTTTTTTGACAGAATGATTCCAAATAACATAGGTAGAGATAATCCTTGATACAGATCTTAGTGGCTGACCTTTATTCCTAAGGGTAGGCTGGACTTAGCAACTCAGTTCTGTGGATAAGGTAAGGAAAGAAAAACATAGTAACCTCACACTGAGAAACCTGGCAAAGACTACTTCAGGCAAGAGATGACATCAAGCATGTCATATGAATATCTTTCTATGATGTGATGAGCAGGGCATTTAACCCTGCAGTCATGACAAACACACCAGACACACACAGCCCAGAGCACTCTAAAGGATACCTGGCCTGCTGTCTTCTGGAAAGACAAGGAAAAGCAGAAATTGCAACAGACAAAGGAGGCCAAGGAGACATGACAAGGGGAAGTAGTGTAGGCCCTGGATTAAACTCTGAACCATAAAAAGGACCTTAGTGGAAAGACAGGTGAAATTTAAATAGCGTTTGGAAATTTTAACACTAATGTACAAATGTCGGTTTCTTAATTTTGACAAACTAATGGTAAATCAACCAATAGGAAATTAAGTGTGTTGTATGGCACTCTGTGTAAATCTCAAATTGTTCCAATTTGCAATTTCGTGTAGATCTTGAATTGTTCCAAAATAAAAACTATGCTAAGTTCCATAGTTTCTGTCTCCTGATTGTACCTTCAATGATACAAAAAGCCAGAAACAATTATTTTATGTATCTAACATACAACACAAAATTTAGATATAGCAACAACCTAAATTTAGGTATTCCCAACAAGAGTAGGGGAAACAGAGATAGAATCTCTAGAAATCAGACTTTCAACACTGTGGAATAGTAGATCACCCTAATGGCATGCATTTTGTTTGAAGAATTGTTAGGCTAAGCATATACAAATTCATGAATTGTCTTTTTTTTTCTTTTTCTTTT